GACGACCATTCTCGAGCAATCTCAAAGTGACCAATCGAGATTTAATCACGTTATGACAGCGGAGATATTTGAAATAATTACACGCCGCTTCGCTGCCTCTCGGAGCCAAACGGTCCTCCATCTCGCCGCGAAAAACTTGCCCGCCGTTAAGACGAGGCGGCCGCCTCGTCTCGCCCTCGCCAAAGTATCGCCCCGCGTTTCTTTTTCCCCTCCTCCCGCCCGCGATATTCACTTTTTGCGCCGTAATGAGCGATTTACTTCTCGCTCATCTTTCTCCCGTCTCGTTCCTCTCCACCTTCGGCCTCGGCGCGGACGGCGCGTTCCCGGTGACAACGCCCGGCCCCGTTGTGTTTGCGCAGGATGCGTCGTCCGCGCGTGCGAGTGCGTACGGCTCCGTCTCGGTCCCCGCGCACAAGTCCCGTTGACGCTTAGACGCGCGCGTTGTCCGACGCTTGGCACCGGCGCGTCCGATGTTTATTCAACTGCAGCTGCATCAGCGACGCCGGCGTTCGACTTGGAGGCGTCGACTTCGCGTCGACCGGCGTGTCACTTTCACCAGCCGTAAAAGTAGATTTGATCTATGTACAAACGTGGTGGGAAAAAATTATTCGACGTACCTGGCAGTACTTTACTAATAAAGGAATTACGCGACGTTTCTACCGAGAGTAATGTACAAATTTGCGACATTACTGGGCATTACTGGGCATTTTTGGGCATTAGACCTTGCTGGAGCATTATAGAGATAAAATGAGATAATAAGATAAAAAGTAATGTCCGCTGGGCATTGCTGTACAAGATCTTGGTCAGCGGTTTCCCCCTCGATCCCGGCCCTTTTCGGGTGAAAAGCGTCTTGATTACATTCTAAAGTCAGACAAGTGCCAGCCAGTCGGAATCCGAAGACTACGGTTTCATTTCAACTGATCGCCGGCGAAGAAAAGATTCTCAGTATTGATCTATGTGCAAAGAGCGCTCGTAGTTCGCGACAACACGCGGTGCGCCGGAAGATGCGATTGTCGAACAATTACGGCATATTTGATTGTAAATCTGTAGAAATGTCGAACGAAGAGGGAAACACCTCCGTGCGATGGGAATGAATTTTTTGAATAATCGAAGAGACCGATCGCGTACACGAAGAGATATTTCAAAGAGGAAACAAATCAGACGCGATAAGACACATGTTGCGGACATTACAGTAAACAGTACGGTAAAAACAGAATGTAAAAAGGCTTAAGAATCACGAGTTCTTGTTTTCGATGTATTTACCGCCGACGAAGAGAGGAGAGAGAGAAAGAGAGGGACGATTTATATCCGATGTGTCCGCTTCTCGTGGCAGCGCGCAAGATACCTTAAGAGGCTCCCGCTTACGTCACCCGAGCTTTGGGCCCCGTACCCGGGGCTCTCCAAAGACCTATTACCTTATTTACGATTCGCACGGCCATTATCTCCTGGCAACAAAGTGAACCAGCCGGTTTTTCGATACTATCCGGCGTGTGTGTACCCGCCGGTGTGAAAGAAAAAGGGGGGAACCCTTTTCGCGGACGAGAAACGAGCACAAAAGACACGCACCACACAGTCGTGTGCGCAGTTTTGCGGTCGTGGCCGCGTCGCGTCGCCGGAGAACGGAGGAGGACTTTTGTCTTCGTTTCTTAATAACACGCGCGTCCACACGGAGAGACGCCGCGTGGGGTGACCCTGGCGTTGCTGAAAGCTGCTCACGCCACTCCGCGATATTATCAAATTATGGATACGTTAGGGACGGAGGCGCGTCGGCGGGAGGGGGTCGTTTCTGCGAAATTTCATACCCGGCTAATTTCATCCGCGACGTTGCCGCATAAGTGCGAAAAATAATATTTCGATAATACGTTATAGCGGGATATAAATCGAAGCGGGGATCCGCGCGGCGCGCCACCTCGGCGAGAAGCATTTCTCTCGCGCTTTTAGAACGGTAGTGTTTAAAAGTGGCAATTTCGATAACGTAAATAAGTACCGTCGGGGAATAATGACCCGGTGGACGGGGCAGGCCTCTAATTTTAGAGCGCGCGATTTAAGTCTCCGTTCAAGTATTTATAAATCGGCGTTTACGTCAGGCGTGTGCGCCACAGTACGGCGCGGTGATCGATCTTCTTCGCTATTTTAGAATCTCTTTATGCAATTGTCGTGCATTCGTCTCATTTACGAGTCCGTCGAGAGAGACCCGAAGTGGGGTGAGCGGAAAAAGAGTTGGCAAGCTCGTCCGTTCTTTTCTCACGACGAGGGGCGGACGGCCAGCGAAGACGAGTCGGAGGCAGAGCGTCTTTAAGAGTCGCGGTCATCACATTTACGCGACGGTCCAAGCGGGGATCAGGAATATTAGCGCGGCGAGCGAACGTTCGCCAAATCGGAGGCGTAGGTACGTTAATTTCAGCCGACGGCTCGTGGCGGCCGTCGCCGCTATGGGGGAGCGAGACAGAGAGAGAGATCGTTTGGATGAAAATGAATTTGTCGTTTGGCCGCGATGCAGCGCGACGCGTCGCGCCGCGCGACGCAACAACCTGTTCGATGACTTTTCCGTTTGATGATTGCAACAAGTGAGGCCCACCGCCGCCGCCGTGCTCTCTCCCGCGCTCTCCCGAACCATTTTACCACCGACAGCCACTCCCCGTTTCGCATTCAACAAGTGGCCAAATCATTCAGCGCGGGGCTGCGATCTCTCGAAAAATCGCAATTTTTGCGCGCGCCGTCTGCTCGCGCCAGTCATCGGCCGATCTATCAAAATGAGATAGAGCTCTCCTCGGGATGGTGCGGTGACGCGGCGCGGCTGCGAGACGCGAGACGCGGGTGTCCCGTGCGGTGTATCATTATACGCGGAGATTGCAATTCTATATGGCTTATTTTTGCAGTAGCCAATTTCTATTTTCGTAAAAATCCACACATGCACGCTGCCACGGCGGCGTAATAATAGTATTCGGGCGGCTCGCTCTTAAAAGGTGTGCGCGAGGCGCATCCTTTCGAAATTCGATTGACGCCCTTTCGCCGCAACGTAATCATTACTGTCATCGGAAAGCGCCGATCTTTTCCTCCGTAATTTCAGTCGGCGCGCCAAGTGCCATTGGTGGTGTGTGTATATACCCGGCCCGTTCTCTCTCTCTCTCTCCCTTTCTCCCTCTCTTTCTCTCGCCCTTTCTCTCCCGCTAAAGAGAAACCCGGTGGTGGTGGACTCGAACGAACCTCGTGGTATCTGGTGGAATGGGTCTCATTAAGGACGCCTTCACAGCCCTTCATCCTTGGCTCTTCAGGCCCGCGCTTTCGTCCCTCCGCCTCTCTCTCTCTTTCCCGTCTTCTCTCGCCCCCGCTTCGAGACGCTCGTCTTTTATACCTGGCTGCCCCTTGCTCGCATTTCTGGGCTTGGTCCCGTGTGTTTGCGTGCGCCTTATGTGCCCGAAGGCCACCCGACGCTGCTGGTTCCTTGTCATCTTCGACTTTAAGCACGTCGTGACTTAATGTGTTTCCAAAGGTATCCGGCGAAACGAGAAACTCTCGCGTGCTCTTAGCCAACGGTCTACCACAGATATTCTATAACGTCGTAGCCAGAATTTAAGACTTTGCGATGCTAACAGATAAAGTCTTAAAAATTGAAGAAATCGAAAGAGATATTGGGGTACGTTGTTAACTATAATTTACAATAATCCTTTTTTTTTTTGCATAATTACTGTATTTATGTATACATATTCAAGCAGATAAAAATTGCATGGTTACACTATTTGTAATCTAGAGGAAGGTTCCCTATTATGAGACAAACTTCTAATACGAGACAGCGTTTCTGTTAAATTAATGAATTTATTGCTCTTGGAGCGAAATCCGTTTAATGGAAGATTCATCGTTAGGTCGTTGCGAAAAAAGGATTGGCGATTGAATTTCACCTCGCATTAGAAACCAATCTCATAATAGCAAACTTTCCTCTGCCAATATGTGCACGGAAAGAAACATTTAGCTGCCCCAGCTAAAAACTGCATGCGGCAACTAAATTTCAGTTGTAAAATGTGGACAGCTGATATTTAACAATGGATCAGTTTAGTCGACCTTAACTGGCGCTTGTTTAATAAATTAAAAATATAACGTGCGACGCGTTTCGACCACGGGTTTGGCTCCTTATCGAGCACAAATTCTAAAAGGGAACAAACCAATAATCGTTACACGCTTATCGTAGATACAAATAAAATTACAATAAAAAATTAAAACTAATTGTACCAAAGCAATGTGTAAAGTGAGACGCAATCAAATATCGCGTGTACAATAAAAGATATGGTTTGTCAGGTGGCTACGTAAACTTGAAATTAAATCTTCGACCAGTCACTTACCTTAAAAATTAATCGAGTCATTGCAATACGTAATTGAACGGTAAAAAAGTATAACAAAGTTGAGTCACGAGCTAATATTTAGCCGCGATAGCTAAATATTTTGTTACTGCGCCTATCGTACTAGGTGCGACGGCAAACTGTTTGCTGTGGTTTAAGAAATTTACAGTTGTGGCAGCAAAATATTTTTAACAAACCATGATTAGTTCGAGTGGCGAAAAATTTTCTTTCAGTGTGGAACACCAGGCAAGGCACGCAGCGCAGCCTCGAGTTAATTTCGAAAAGCGCAGACAATGCGTGCGGAGTTAACTACTATTTCCCGTTTTAGAGACTGTGTGTTGCGATTTTCGATAACGACGTTGCCCCGCGCACCGATAATGAGTCAGCTGTGTCTACGTCTGTTACGGTCGGTTCATTTATTCGTATTAATAGCCGGGGATCCGCACGTGGACGGCTTGACTGGGCCCGGAGCTAAAAAGATTAAACACAATGCCACAAAGTGACGGCAGGCTGCTTGTCGCGGATGCGGCTTATTCGCCGCGGGTGCGTACCGCGCGCGGACGCGGCGGTTTCAACGCCCACGCGCGCGCGTCCGCATTGTCGCGTATACATAGCTAATTGAATCCCTTCGTTTCTCCAATTCCTCTTCTTTTTTTTCCCTCGCAGGGTGGCGGCGGTAGCGGCGGGGCTGCTGGCGGGCTGAAATTCACGGTGGCGGACACTTGCGAGAGGATCAAAGAGGAATTCAATTTCATCCAGCAGCAGTACCATTCGTGAGTATCTCTCTTTCTTTCCCCGCTTATTTTCCTTTTGGCCTTTTCTACCTCGCCATTCGCCCCCGTTTCTCGGGCCGTTTATATTTTCCTTTAGTCTTTCCCACTCCCCCTTTTCACCTCGCTCTCGTCTCTGTTTGCCGTGTTTCCTCGAATTTTCACGATTATTCAAGACGACGGGTTTCCCTCCGCATTTTTCCCCGTTCTCCCGCGGCCGACTCTCGACGATTGTCGATCGATTCGCATTATTCGATGCATGTTACGACGCATTTTGTTCCTACTTCGAAGGCCGGGATTTTGTCCTGCATTTTTTTCCCCTCTTATCCGCAGCATTAGTACATTACTTTGGTGAATTTGTAATGAAACGCCATTCCAGCTAATCGTTTCTGATTTCTTTATTATGTTGCAGACTGAAGCTCGAGTGCGAGAAGTTGGCCAGCGAGAAGACCGAGATGCAGAGGCACTACGTTATGGTAAGGCACTTTGTAAGTTTCTTTTTGTGTCTCTCCTCTCTTCGATCGAGTCTCGTTACCTCTTTCGTTCTCGCAAGTCGAGAGCGGTCCAAACCGAGAACAACTCCGGCAACAATTTAGTTCCTTAATCGTGAAAATGTCGGCGATACTCGCAGCTATGCTTCTCAGTGTTCGATAATCCTTTTACGCGCGAAATGCAACAACAAGCAAACAAGCTCCGCGCCGGAGTATCGTAAGAAACTTTATACCAAAAGTAAGGGAAAGAGTATCGCCGCTTTTCCCCGAGTTTCGGCGAATATTTAATCCGACGTTTCCCACAACTTGTGCAAAATGCACGGGGTCGTTAAAAATAAAAAGGAAATTCGATTATCGGTTTCGCGTGCATCCGCGAGCCAACTCTTGGAGGAGCCTCTCCCTCTCGACTTGCGTTCGTATCGGCACGCGAGAACGTACGCGGCGGGCAGACGGTGTTTATCGATAACGCGAGCATGAAAGACCGGGACATTACATAAATGAGAGAACAGTGCAGGTCATTTGCTCGCTGGGAAAAACGATTGATATTATTTTCGCCTCATATTGCCGGGCGCCCCACTTTGATTTAGTTCTATCAGCGCGAAGGCAATTAGTCCAGCCAACCGTACTAATCGTATCGTCATCGGTAAGGAGCTTACTTGGACTTAGCTATATCAAAGTGCCAGTGCTAACGTGGTCCAGAGTATTCGCCGCGAGTATTCATTTCTCGTTGCTCCCTTCTTCTTCTTCTTCTTCCGCGCCCCGAGGCAACCTCGGTGTTATTACATTGTCCCTCTACGATAGATTTTCTTCTCCTTTACGAGACCGTAAAGTTGCGTAACACGCGAGAAATCGTCGAGAGTTCGGACAATTGTAATTTGTTCGGGTATCATGCGCTTTGTATCTCCGCATCTTGCTCGTACTCGAGAAATATTATCTCCGAAATGATATTCTGCCGTGTCTACCGTTTGACACTTTGCGTGACGATAATTCAACCTGGACTTTGGCCTGCATCGAGAAATTTGGTCCCAGGCCTCTCGTTTGAAAGACGATATACCGGACCCGACGCGTTGATACCGGAAATTGAATGCTCCGAGTGAAATATTGGTGCGCCCGTTTCATCGTGAATGGCCGCTGCAAAAAGTCACGCATTGAGTCGCAATCAAGCGGTTTTCTTAGAAACTCGCGTACAAAAAGAGGCCCGAAGCACGGCGAAATAAGTTTTAACGCGCAACTCTGCTTTATCACCTCATTGTTAAGATGTCGTAGACGTCATTTGAAAGGATTGTATGAAAATTCGCGAATGCCGCCTTCGTCCGCCACGCTCGTCGAATCGAACTCGCGAGAGACACGGTGGCTGGTCCAGCGTTTGTCCAACGAGGATGAAAATAAAAATGGGGCATCTTTTGTCCCGGTACAAATTCAGCGTTGCACGAGAATGCGCTCGCGCAAGTACCGGGCTTATGCGTTTCTGCAAACCGCTTTCGAGATACGAAAGCGAACAGCGCGGATTGGTGGGTCAATAACCCCGTTATGTTCAATAGACGCAAATTTCAGCGGAGCTAAAGGCACATTCCGAATGTTTACTCGGCTGCTTTTTCGAATTCTAGGACCGTTTGCGGAGATGGGAAATTGAAACCAACATAATTTCAATGAGTCTAACGCTCGTCCGCGTTATCGCGATTGTTACAATAGAGACGCCGAGTACACGCGAGTCCAGGCTCGCGTGAAAAGGGACTGAGGAATTTTACCGTGAGATCTCCCGTCTATTTTTCAGTTAATATTTTCCGCATCCGTTCCATTATCCCCGGGATATTGAATTCGCTTTGATCCTGGCGTTAAATAATTGCGGAAATACACGGCTGTAATTTTTGAGACGTTCCATTCCGTTAATTCTCGAGGTAAGTTCAAACGGAGTGCTTCAATACAGGTAGCTCGGATTTGCGCGCTTAATGCATTCCTAAGAAATGCAAATTCAAATTCGCGCGAACGCGAAAGACCGATGGTGTTTTGCATGCGAAAATTGCGCTCGTTTTACGCGAGCTCCATTTACACCGTTAAAGCACGCGACTTAAGAACCGCTCCGGAAAATCAACCGCGTTCGGCAGATCGATGTCCTCACCGTAACGCCGGCATCCTTGGATTCCGAGGTCCTACACCACTGTCTGCTGTACGGCCGATCGTAATTGTCGCGAACTATACTGTCTCTGTAAACTGCTACACCGATGTGACACCGTGCAAGCAACCAAGCAGCAAGCTGGGCCGAGTGGAAGGGAGTCGGGGGTGCTAGAGGGAGTGGATAAGGGGGGTCGGAGGTGACAGAGGGGTTGATGGGGGTTGGGAGTTGAGCCGGTAATCGATATCTCCAAAGTAAACGAAGAGAGAGATAGAGAAGGGGGTGGCAACGGGGGGTGGAGGAGCAGTTGGCGAGGAGGGGCGGGCGGGATGGGGGGGGGCAGGGGGCATAGAGTGATAGAAGTAGCGACGAAGAGAGAAGCGAGGCTCGCCGAGGGAGAGAAGGGGGCGAGGGAGAGACGGATAGAGAGAGAGAGAGAGAGAGAGAGGGGGCGAATTACAGAGACAGAGAGAGAAATTGATGTCGAGGGTTTGTCAACCACTGACAAGTATTATATACGTGCAGGCCGGAGACGCGCGCGGACGCGGCCTCGCGCCGCGTCGGTGTGCGCCGGCACACGGGTGTACGTACACCACGCCAGCCGTGTCTCTGATATTCTAATTCCACCCTCGTGTATTCCAACCGCCTCTCCTACCCATCTCTTCCCGCCGTCGCCACCGCCGCCACCGCCGCCGCCGCCACGCGCGCGCAACTTCATCCTTCGCGATTTTCATTAGGGTAACGCGCCGCGTAAATCCGCGCGCTGCTTCAATTTTTGCCCCCCCCCCCCCCTCCCTCCGTTCACTCTTTTGTCCGCTTCGTCTTACGGATCATCGCCTTTCTATGTCGTTGCGCGATATCTTTCCCTTCTATCGCCGAGATACCGCCAATCGTGTCCGCTTCCGCGGATGTGATTGATACTTGTACTCGATTTCTTTGTGGATGCTGGGTGCATTTTTCAATCGCGTTGTACGGGTTCGCGGTTTACGCGCGCGTTGGAATTTCCGCGGGCGATCCTCGCTCTCGTAGCTCTCAGTTACGCGGTGACAGTTTTATTAAAAGGAGAAGCATACGGAGTACTTGTAAATTGAGACCGCGCTGTGAGTTTACAAAAATTACATCTTCATCTATATTTGCCGTTTGATCTTCCTCCGGTCACGGTTTACATGCTTCCGCTGCTCCGCAGGTTGGACGACTGTATTTTCGGAAAACGTCATTTCGTCCTGACAAGTGCGCGACGGAGACTGATCCACTTGGCTTTTTCTCGCGAAACCATTTTCTCGCTTCATTTTTTTAATCATGCGCCTGTCCGTTAATTTATACGCTACGGAACCTACCCTTTATTTATCCGTAAAAAATTTGAAAACAAAAAGAAACGAGAAAATTTTTCGGTCATTGCAAAAAGTTTCCCCTCGATCGCGATGAAAATAACCAACGCTCGCGAGCGTCTGACATGCTCCAATTATCACGAATGCGCGAATCTTCATTCGTATTCCGCGAATTGATAATCGTCGCCGTTCGATCGCTCGCAGGAGTTTCATATTTTTATCGCGACACAGATTGCGGTGCATCGTCGGCGAATTAATTCTCCGGAATGCCGCTACGAACGAAACTGCCCCCCCGACGAACGGCGTCGCTCCCTCACCCCCGCGTTTCGTCGGCAAGAGGGGGGTGGGGGGGGGAGGCGGAGGCGAGAGGCTAGCGTCGTTACGTATCGTCAAAAACAGAGCATAAGCGGAAAGCCCCGAATCCCCGGGCCGTCAGAAAATTAATTTGATTCCCGATACACGAATGTAATGATCGAGCGCAAGCGAGGAAAAAAAGAGAAAGAAAATTCGATGGCACGGACGAGGAGCAAAAAAACAGGGGGGGGGGAGAGGAGGGATAGAACGAAAAAAACCTTATCGAAAACGGGCCCGAGGTCGTTGCGCATCTCCGACCTGCCCGCGAACGAGAAGACTTTCCAATTATCTATGTTTTTTCTCCGCCGCGTTTTTTCGCGCTGCAACAAATTAAACGTAACCCACATCCCTGGGGCACGCTTCTCGATTACTCTTTGTTTTCCTCCTGTTTCCACGGTTCGCCGTTTGCTTTCCACCCCTCGACTGTACGCGCGCGCGGGTATACCTGGCAGATTGCATTTCTATCCTCCTGCGCGCTACGTTGTCCTTCTCTCAAAAAAAATTTTTTTTCCATCAACACTAGCGAAATTTCGCCCCGTCACGCTTCGGCTGTGACGGGCGTTCGGCCGGCGATACCTCCTTTATGCGCGGAAAATATCTTTACGCGGGTTTTAGTCGAAATATTATTTACGAGTTTCTTCTGCGCCCCGTATTTTAGACAAGCGTCAACTTACTGACTCTCGAGTAAGTTGTAATCGTTTTACGGACGTCGAATGATAGAGTTGCGTAAATTTATATTGTAAAGGGTGTTTTTATTACATCGCGATCGAAAATTGAAGAGAAGCTTTATTGCGCGCGAACAGTCGTTTCTTCTTTATCGTGATAATTCACCGGCTCCTTTTACAAAGATACGAAATGCAGAAAGAAAAATTTCGCGTCGGCTTATTAATTATCCGTTAATTATCCGCGGGCGCAACGTGTAAATTTCCGCGAGGTGAGTCAAGAGAGTGGATACGAGCGAAAAAGGAAAATGGGAATGGAAAGGGAGGCGAGAGGAACGATAGACTGAATAGAAGTGCCGTGCAACTGCAAGAAAGGAGAGCGTAAAGAGGGAGGAGGGAGGGGAAAGGGGACGAAACGAGAGAAAATGTCGAGAGAGCGACAAACGAGGTCGTCCAATCATCCTATCAAAGGCTCGCTACTAAAAGATCCATATCGAGTAATCGGAGGGGGCGAAATTATCGGTACAACTCTTATTATTGGGTTCTCCCAGGCACGTGAAAATAGAAAATGAGAGACGGCGGATGAGATCGATATCCACGAATCTCTCTCTCTCTCTCTCTTTGCCATCGTCGAGAGAGAAAGAGAGTTCTCTTGTTATTTGATTACCGACTTTCGTCGATATCTTGCTTGCGACCATCCAAGTCGAACCGCACACAATGCGCGCGGAGCGTCCGCGACGCGAGCCAAACGCCGACAAATCGTCCGACGGATTCGCAAAGCTTTCTTACTTCACGTATGGTCGCGTGCGCGCGCGCGCGCAAAAAAAACGAGGCGGACAGAGAACGGGAAGACACACGGGGGAAGTGATAAAGAATAGAGAAAAACAGAGGAGCGAACAATACGAGGGGACCCTCTCGTTGTGCACGCGCTTAGTCCGACGGATAAATTATGATCGCTCTTTACCCCGGCCGTGGCGGCGGCAATCGCGGCGCGCACTTTTTCGTAGGCCGCGCGAGCTTCGAGGAAATGTATTATCGAGCCTCCCTCGCGCTCCCCGTGCTTGTCGCGCGATAAGATCGCCGGGCCCGAATCAACGTGCACCGCCGTAGGACAAAGCGCGGCCGGGATCGTCGCGCAAAGGAGGAAGGCTCCGCGCGTGCCTTGCCCCAAGTTCGCCAGGCGTAGTTATCGACTGCATTATTAAGTCGGTATATTTCCGTGGCCGATGCTATCGATCTCCGAGCCCGAGTATCTCCCAGCCTGGCCTGACGTGTGTATTGCACTTTCCCGCCTCCCCCCCCCCTCTTTCTCTCTCTCTCTTCCTCCCGTTCTTCTTTCCGTCTCTCTCCATCTTTCTCTCGGCAAACCGCCGCCCCCGAAGCCATTCGTTTCCGAACGAGAGCGGCTAAAGGCGGACACGCGCGGCGCTAAGCGACAGCCACTAGCCAATTTACGATCGCGCAAGCGCATCCACCGGCCTGCATCCTACGCTCGGATGCAGTTTATCGAGACGCATGTACGCGCGCCGGATCGAACGGCTACTACTACTGCGGGCCCCCTTCGGTCTCGCCCTCGCCCGCAGAAATTCGTCCGCGAGAATGCCGACGGCGTGAGAAGATCGCGCCGGTCTGATCCATCGATCGCGCCCCAGCGATTCGATACGCCTCGAGAATTCCGCACCTCGGTGTGCGCGACGCTCTATTTTAATTTCGGAGGAAACGCGACCGCGCCGGCCCTCGGCGTTAAATTGTATTCCCACGGCGGGATCGCGTAGAGAACAAATGTCGCCAGGCACGATTGAGACGACGTTACAAATGCCATTTGCTTTCTTTATTTATGTTTGAAGCCCGAGACCGCGGGCTTTAAAAGGCTCATGCGAATAACGCGATTCCGCACGAGCGTTTGATACTTGAATTGCAGCTAGCCAATTTGCGATTATGCTCGCGTGCGTAAGAACCATAGCAGTCGTCAGTCTAGTTTGTATGCGAATGGTTTTACGCTTGCGAACTTTGAAACGCAACGATTTCCCGATACATCTCTCTCTTTCTCTCTTTCTCTCGCTCTCTCTCTCGTGTTTACAACTGCGTGCCGTTTAATAGTTTAACCGTATGTCACTTTACCCATCCCTGAATGATACTTTTACGCAAACTGAAAGCCACGTCTTTCTTGTTACAGTATTACGAGATGTCGTACGGCCTCAACGTTGAAATGCACAAACAGGTAAGCTTGTCACCTACTTATCGAATGATTAATCCAGCGACTCGATCCGGCCGTTCAGACAAGGCCGTCCAGTGTTACTATCTTGTAACTAAAGATTAAGTAAACTAGGCAAACCAGCGTTGTATGGATATCGATAATCGATAGCTAAAATATTTAGATCGGATGCAGATTATCCCCCTTCGGACACATTCTTAGAACGTGTTCCGCGTGGTTGTGCCCGTTAAACATCGGCAACAGTTGGATCGCACGGCCGGACAACGTAACGCTGGGAACTGGGCGTCGCGCGAAGTTAATCAAGATCGCGTTTAACTCGGACGCTAAGTATCCGAGTGGCCCTTCGCTAATTGAGCCCGGGGTCAGTGAATCGCCGGGATCGGCCGCGGCCGCAAACGAGGGGGCGCGAGCGGGGGCGCGTTTAGGCCGGGAAATCGTGTAATTTCGGCTAATCAGGGGAAACGGCGGCGTGGCAGTTTCCCCTCTGTCAGCAATTTTCTTAAAAGCGGCCACGGTGGCCCCTCGTCGCCGCGCGGTCATGCTCAAAAGTGGGGCTCCGAACTCCAAACAGCCCTCCCGCCGTCCCGGTGGAACAACGAGCTGATATTCATTAGCATTAGCGGCCGATCATTTCTCACCCTCGTACCTCGAGGCGGCGCTTAATGGGCCGAGGCGCGGGGGAGCTATGTTCTCCCGGGTAGTTATAGGGCGTAACGCGGCGCCGGAATCACCGCGGAATTGTTTCCGGCGAATAATGCATGAAAAATCAGGGCGGCTTTTTTTTAAAAACCCGGAAAACGCGTGGCGCCCAATCGGTCTCGCGACCCGGACCGCGGGATCGTCGCCTTTTAAACTTGGGGGTAAGGTTGTCGAACTGGATTTATTACCAATGGAAATCGGAGGCGTCTATACGTGTCACCTGAAATTCAATTAGCTGAGGGTCTTACCTGATCGAATGGCTTATCCTGGCGAGATAATGATTCGAATAGTTAAAAATAAAACCTGAATTCCTTTCACGTGGACTAATGTCGACGCGCTAAATTGGACCTGTCGCGGAGTCTAACAATACGTTCGTCGATATATGTATATATATATAATTTTTTTCTCTCTCGCTAACGGGTGTGCGGTAAAACCGGTGGAAGAGTCGTTTCGCGCTCGTGATTTGCAAATTTGTCGGATAATAATGTACACCGGATACTAATAAAAATCGGAAAAGTAAGATCGCGCGGGAACGCTGGGAAATCAAGTCGGGACACCGCGACTGCACAAATTGCAGCGGAGATAATGTAACACGGCGAACTCGCTTCTCTGACACTAATTGGAAGAGAAATGAAAAGTTATCGGTTCTTGGCGGCTCTCTAATTAACCGTGATAATATCGGGCCGATGCCATGCGCTCGTGAACGCACGATTAAATCTCTTTCGCCAGCTATTCGCATTAATTGCCGTCTTCCAGGCGCATTAGACGATGATTTCGCGATGCGTCTTGGAAGAAAAGGTGGTAGATTTTTTTTTAAACGTTTGTCCCGCAAATAACGCAGTAATCTAGTGGACAAGTGCGCTTTATTTTTTTCATCGAGCGTCCCTTTCCCCGTTTCTTCCGCCATCGGCGACATAATGGACATCCCGAAAATGTACTTATTGCTTTCGCCCGGGGATGCCGCGCGTCGTGTCAGTCTCAAAATCCTCCCTCGCGCGGCAAAAAAATAAATAAATCAAGCTGCCTTTAGTCAATCCCCGCCACTTAGCGGGCTTTCGCGTCGCGGTTTTCTCGCTCCTTTTCAATTTGAGCCCCCGAATGAAAACAATCTTCCCCTACGAGGTTAGAACCTTCTGTATCTCTGCCTCGTCTCTTTTTCCCGTTTCGCCACCCCTTTCGTTTTTACCCTTTTCGCTCTCCCTCGCTCCCCTCTTCTCTCTCTCTCTCTCTCTCTCTCTCTCGCACTCCCATTCTCTCCCCCTGATTTCCGTCCCGCTCGCCGCTCCCAGAATGCTAGCCATCCCTCGCATCTGCGACCCTCGTATCTCCTGCCACAGCCCGAAGTCGACATTTGCCTCTCACCCACCCCACCGCAGCCACCACTTTACCACTCTCTACTCGACTAACTCGAATTTGTTGGCGATGTCCCAGTTCTTGTAGGTACGATTACTTCTCTCGCCCCATCCGTTCCTCATCCCCAATAGCAGTCTTGAGTTTTCTCCCTTCGGTCACCCTTGCTCGCGAACATTGGCTCGATCGTTCGGTTTAATTGCACGATATAGACTGCGACCGACCGATCGGTCGGTGCAATATTCGCCTCTCGATTCACGTGGTGAAGAAATCAAGTTTTTCAACACTTCGACGTCCCTCTGTGCAGGGTGATTCGTCGAGTTTTATCCCCACTTGCCCGGAGAGAGGCGTTGCCGAAGTCTTTCGGAGCAAAAAAATGTTAACGCGGTATTCGGCTGTTAATTTGAAAGTTTGGGAAAAATAATTTCTTTGTACAATTTCAATGGGCAAAAGGGACGAAAATCCTACGGACACGGTTGAGACGTTAATCTTCTAGGTAAGAAGCATTCTTTTTGAATTCCTTAGGTTTGCTTTGTACAATAACAAAAAAAAGAAATCGACCAGAAATTTATGAGGAAATTTTGTAGGAAACAGTTCCCGGCATGCGTTCCGTAAACGGGGGGTAAAACTTTGGGGAATCTGTGCGTGAATACCGTTAAACGACGGAGAATCTTGGAAGGATCTTTCGGCCGCTGAAAAAGTCGGGGAGAGCCGATCGAAATTGTACCGCTTTCAATCTACGAGTTAATGCGATATCGTTCGTTAATGTCGGCGATAAAGCGTTTTATCAGTCCCGTTGGATTCTCGAGTCCGTCGAATTTCATCGCGCGCGCCTCATGGAAAACGAGATTCGCGGCAATAGAGAAAAATGGGCGGCTCGCAAAAAGCGCCCGCGACTACGCAAAAGAAAAGCGCGGAAGAGAAAGGGTGGGATAAACTGGGCGAATCAGAGTGGCGACGAGGACGAGACGGGAGAGCTAAAAACTCATCGCGACGCGGCTGGTCGCGCGTTACGTTCTCGCCCTATTCATCCATTCGAGTCGTACGTACGTACGTACGTACGTACATTCGGTTGCCGGCGTATCTGTCCGATAACGCTTATCGCTTAATTGAAAGGGACGTCCTTCGGCGCGGCGGCCGCCTGCTCGTTGTCCCGTTCGATTAAGCCGCGATCCACGGTAATATGTCGCGGGTGCGTTACGCACACGCGATCGCGAAATGGGTCATTACCGAGTCTTGGGGGGGCCCGAGAGAATTAGAAACGGCCACGGAAATACCAAGGAAATGAGATAAAAAATGCTTCATCGCCTCATTACTCAGCGTTAAGCCACGCGGACGCGTTTAATCGAAAACTCGTAACGAAACGACGAGAGAAGCGTTAAGTATTCTGTATTAAAATTATTCCCGAACGAAGGATCGAAGGGTGGCAATAACTTTTGCATTATCCTGCATGGGAGAGAATCAAGCCGCGCGCGGGAGTTGTTACGAAGTCACATCGTTTCTAAGGTGGAAACCCTTGGTGCGGAAATGTCGAATCGGAGACAGCGTTCTCTTCGAAAAAGCGCGTATCCCTTTGGAGGAATATTGCCGCGGCGTTGTTGTTGGCGTTGTTCGTCAATATAAGAGTAACTACCATTTCCCCATCGCGGGTTTGCCCGGCGTCCGATAAAAAATGTGCAGGCTGACCAATTGCGTATAACTCACCCTGCCTTTCCAGTTCTTCCTACCTTCATGCATATATACGTCTATCTATCCGGGCTCTCTGTCTTCTGCCCACTCTGGTCCTCTCTCCCTTTCTCCTTCGTTCTTTTTCCTTTTTTTTGGATTCTCTTACTCTGTCTCTCGTTCAATGCACGACCCCCCTCTCGCTCCGTCTCCCGCAGGTTCTCTTTCGGCGGTCGGGGGTCGCTTTTCCAGGGTTCTCTCGTTCGTACACACGTGTTAGCGTGCGAACGCGCGAGCGAGCGAGAGGACAGAGGGAGGAAGAGGGAGGGCGAACGCGCGTGTACACACTCGCGCTCGCACTCGCAATCGCGCTCGCACTCGCTTGCGCTTGCTCGCACGAACACCTACGCCGCGCGCGCATACACCCTCCTAGGGGTCGTGTATTCGAGTTCTTTTATTTTGCCCTGTGGAGGTAGCAGAGGGTTGAGTCGAGCGAGAGCGGAGAGAGCGCGAGGGCTGGGGGCGATGACATCGATTTTTTACCCGTTGCTAATCTCAATGTTACCTCCACCTCCACCACCCCCCCCTCCCCTCCTCCTCCTCCTCCTCCTCCTCCTCCTCCTCCTCCTCCTGATCTACCTCCACATCCACCACGTCCTCCTCTACCTCCCGTTTGGTCATCTCCATCCCCTTCCCCGTCCCGCCCCGTCAACTCACTTCGTCCTCTCTGCCGCCACCCCCGCCCCCTCGTCGAGCCCGCACCTCGGCCATCCGTTTTGCGGGAAAACGTGCATGTGCATCGGGCACATTCGAGAAGGAATAACCATTTTTTCGTGCCGGACAACACTCGCTCCGCATCGCCCGCGTCCTGCAAATTCTCCTCGTCTCCCGACCGCCGCCGCCGCCTCCGACCACCTCCCGCAATCCCCGACACTATCCCTCGCATCCTCTGTCCATTTTTTCGTCGAACCTTTTTTCGTCGCCCGCCCTTCTTCTACACCCACCTAACCATCCCGGCTCGCTCCCTTCCGCCCTCCCTTGCCACCTACTGTCGAACAGGGCGAAATCGAACTGACGTGGACGCGGCAGTTTTCCATCTTTCTGTTCCCCGCGGGGGCGATGACATTTTTTTCGGTCTCTCAACTTTTTAGATCCACGCGGCCGGCTCGTCTGACGTGAAAATATCGCCGGGACGAGATATCGCGGCGTCATTGCGAACGCGCTATTAAATAATTACGCGCGGCTCTGCGTCCGCCAATTTACCGTCGCGAATCATTGAGATCGAGCGGAATAATTGAGTCGATTAAAATTATATAATTACACGGTGATTTTCGAATTATTAAATCCGCTGCTGCAAAAGGCGGAAATCCATTTGAGACCGCCATCGCACGATCGGGGGATAAATGGGCGACGGCGTACAAATATTTCTTTCGACGCGACGATTACGAAAGTCACGTGGCGATCGTGAGCTTAATCGTGATCCGATTCGATCGACGCGCATTAATGAGTAGCCACCCCTCCGTACGAGGGTGAAACGAGCCGCGCTCGTACGTTCGTCGTGCGACATGTGATTACCACGATGTTAACCCCGCACGCCGTGCCACGCGTGTCCTACGCGTTACACACACACATACACGCACAATTCGGTATCGCATCCCCCCCCCCTTCGCCCCATACAGTCGGCCTCGATTTCTCAATTAAGCCTCGAATTATTCAAAGCATAACTGCGTGACGTTAAACCTACGCACGCGACATTAAATTCCGAGTGAGTTTCCGGTGTTACACGTGCAATTTTACAAATGGAACGGTCATTTCGAAAACGACGTGTGCCGCGCCGTAATTTTTGAAAATGGAGATAGCTGATGGAGTGTTTTGTAAAAGCGCGCGTGTCAAAAGAAATTACGTCTCTGCCGTGTAGATATTATTCTCTGTGAAAATGGAGGAAATTAATAAAAGCGCCCTTTACGCCTTGCCGTGAGTCGCGCGGTACTTTTAATTTTCATAACGCGCCTATACCGTCGAATAAGATAAATCGCCGGAATATTGAGCTGTCAATCGAAAACGCATTTGACTCGACCATCCGTCGTGTGTTCGCAGACGGAAATCGCAAAAAGGCTGAACGCGATAATCGGGCAAGTGCTTCCGTTCCTGGCGCAAGAGGTGAGTCTTTGACTTTCTGTTTGGCACGCGTGCCGTGCGATCTCACAATCGAGTGTGACGACGACGCGATAATGATAGCATGGCATTGCAGCATCAGCAGCAGGTGGCCAACGCCGTGGAGAGGGCGAAGCAAGTCACCATGTCCGAACTGAACGCCATTATCGGGGTAAGTAGCCGCTCACCATTAACTTCCCAAGTCATCGGCTTTGATGAGACGGATCGTATAAGAATGTATTCCAGAAAAAAGTTCTTTACGATCGAACAGCTCGCGTGCTAGACCGGCGAGCTTGATCTCATAATTGAATAATTGTCACTCGAGTTGCGACCTGACGCGTCTTTTCCTAATTCTTGCAGCAGCAACAGCAGCAAGGTCTCCAGCAGTTATTGGTGAGTATTTTACCCTACGTTCGACGCGTAAATTTAGACTTTCTGCGAAACTGCCTCGCACGGTTTGCTCGATATTTTATTCGCGAAAAGTCGCGCGTTCTTGAAACAAGAAAATTAACTCGGCGCGTTGATCGCCGCCGCGCGAATCGCGCGATTAGTTTCACGAGCGTCCAACTGGAGATTGTAATAATAAACGAAACGCGAGTTTCGAACTTGTTGCGTTTAATTTGTTCCTAGCGCGCAACTTCTTAGATTTTATCGGAAATATCGGATGCTATCGATTGACGTAGCGCCAGTCGCGGGTGGTTAATTGACGCGCGATTAAGGGCTAGTTTCACAAACATCGGTTAACTGCTAACCGAAGGTTAATTGATTCTCCGTCTCTTCTGAAATAATAAGAAATAATACTGGTGAAGGATAGGGGAGCCGACTGAACCCTAGTTAACCGACGTTTGTGAAACTGGCCCTAAAAATTACTAAATACGCGTGCGAGGAAAGCGGGCGAGGCGGGGCTTGGGCCGAGAGTGATCCACCATTACAAAACGCTTTTTATCTTGACATCGCAGCAACAGATCCATGCGCAGCAACTGCCCCACGGTGCGGTGGTCGGCGGTCTTCCGCCGAGCGGTCTGCTGTTCGCAGGTGCGGCCGCGGCGGCCGCAGCCGCGGGTGTGCCGCCGCACTTGGCGCCGCCGCCGCATCCCGCGGCCGCGGCTGCGGTCCAGGCACAGGCGCAAGCGCTGCTGAAGCCTGCCGATCTACAGCAGCATCGCGCGGCCGCGGAGACGCCCGAGGACCGTAAGCCGATCGCCCTGCCGGACGAGAGGCTCGGCCACCGCTCGGTCTCTCCGCCTGAGAAATTTCGCAGCCGCACGCCCGACCTCGAGAGCGACTCCAAGAGGCGGAAGGAGGAGAAGCTAGGACACGTGAGTACCATTACCAGCATTGACACCGTCCGGCCGCACGGCCCGCTCTCTCGCGACGCCCCGAGATTTCCCCGAATCGATCGGCCGCTCGATCGGATTTTGCACTCAATATTGCGTACGAGATACAATATAAATACAGGTCCGAGGTTTATTTAGACGGACAAAGGGCGAAAGCGGAAACGCTTTGGTATTCGTGTATGAGAAGAGAATTTTCTCTTAAAATTTACCCTGAAAATCGTGTAGGCGTGGGACAAAGCGTGGGCATTTCGGAGAATTTTTTATGAGTTGCCGCGTTGGCCCACAATTATATGATTTTCAGGGTGAATTTTAGGAGAAAGTACTCTCCGTGTAGTCCAGATCTTCTATTTAGGATCGTCTCCAATTTGTCGAAAGATGCTGTATGGAACATTTCGTTGGCGGAGTATCCGAAAATGATCTCAAGACGATCTTAAATACAGGGTCCGACTCATGAATACCGCCCTCTGTGATTTTACAAAAGTCGTCCCCTTCGTTTGAGACCATTTCCCCCTCGGAGGGAGAGAAGAATCGACGCATCGGTAACAACGCAGGTGCGTGCTGTTGCATTGAATATTGCTCGTTGGTCACTGCACGCTTAACTACAGGGAGACTCGGCGTCGAAAAAGTTGCGCGTTACGGCCGGGGGGGGGGAGGGGGCGCGCGTTTAGCTGAGAATTAAAATGCTAATTGCAGCGACGTCGAAAGCCGATAAAACGGCCGACACTCTCGGCGATCGGAGCGAGGGAGAGGCCGAAGGGCGGCAGAATAAAGAGACGCGCGCGCGCGCGCGTTATATCGCTGGAAAGTAAACGTAAGAGTAATAAAAGGGCCGAGTTAGAATCGAGTTCGAGCCGCGCGATAAAGGATAGGCGAGCGCCGATGCTAACTTCCACTTAACCGTCGAATTCGCCGTGGATAAAAAGAGAGGCGGGGGAGGAAGAGGAGAGAGAGAGAAAGAGAGGATGAAAAGTATGCCCGGCGGTCTCGCGTGCCGCGTCCACGTCGGCCTTTTCGGCGGCAGCGAGCGTCCCAAATGCAATCATGCGTCGCGGAAGTTTCCATCGAAATCGGATTACCCGCGTTCGCCGCAAAGGCGGAGAAAAAAAAGGACCGACCCCGACTTCACCCGCCGGTCAAGAACCGTATAACCCGCGGGAGGTCCGTCCTTCCGTCTGTTAAGTCGGGCGATCGTCTATTTTGCTTAACGTCTCTTCGAAGCGAAGTCCCCGTGAAAGTGTGTTTCTCTGTCCCTGAATCACGACGACAAAATGCGCGCCGGCTCCTCGCGAGAGGAACCAACGCGGACGCGGGGGTGGGCGAGGCAGGAGGCGGGTGTATAATTAAAAACCGTGAAAACAGGCGAACAGTTAGCCGGCTCGTCGTGCGCGCACCGACTAAATTGGATTATTTTTCTCAGCTGCTCCCTTACCTCCTTCGGGCGCTTCACTTACCCACTCTTCGTCTCTCTTTATCTTGTTCCGCCCCTTCCGGTTCCGTCCCTTTCTCCCTTCGCGTCTTGCCTTTTTTCTTTTGTACCGATTAGAGCGTTTCCGCGCGAATTCATTAGCCGGCTACGCCGACTATACCCACGGCATTTTTCTCTTTCCCCCGCGCGACCGTGTTCGTTGATTTGCATTAATTATTTATTTAAAAGGCGTCATAAAATCGTTGAGAAACGTGATGGCTATCTATTATACAGGATGAGTCGCGCAATTTGAACGGGTTATACCGTCTTCACGGTTGATGATAGGAAAAAGTGGCAGGGGGGGAAAAAACTAAACGATTTAATGATGCCTGATTTCTTATGAAGTCCTGACATTGCATGACTCACCCGCTACACGACGGCGGAAAAAGCAAATTATCTACAAATACGAATGGTAACACGTAATAAATGATCTTATTAAGTAACATCTTTAGATATGATCTAAACAACACACAAGAATGGCCAATGCGAGTCTAAGGCAAGACGTAGATAGCCCATACTTGTAATTTTATTAAAATGCGATTTCATAGATCATATTAATAAAATTACAAGTATATGCTATCTACAGCTTGCCTTAGACTCGCATTGGCCATTCTTGTGTGTTGTTTAGTTTCAACGAGAGTCCTACTTTAACTTTAACATCTTCAGATGTAACGTTGGAATAAAAAGGGATTATTAGAGACGTATCGTTCGAAGCGCGACATATTTGCTACGTCCATTTGTCCGTTCAACTATCGAAGAACATATTTCCCAACGGTTTCTCCGCCGCGTTCTGATGACTTCAAACCGCCGCTGTTAAAATTGCTTCTCGAACAACCGTGTAGTTGTCGCGGCCAATTGTCACCGCCAAGCTACTGGCGAAAATCAAGGAGGTCGCTGGCGACCAGCGTCTTGCCTCCAGCTTTCTCCGCGTCCCCTTCCGACCCGCACTTTCGTATTATCCTTCCTTCTTTCTGGATGTACTAACGATGCGTCGTTTACACGGGCAATCCCTTCGGCCCCAAGAGTGCCGGGAAGTTTGTTTGAAGTTGAGGCACTGGACAGATCCGGTCATCAGCCGCATTTCCCCGCTGCCGCGAGATAAAGTCGCGATAAACGGAAAGCAATTTTAATGGCGTAACGAAATCGTCATTACATGTAATGACAGTTGAAAAAGTAATAACATTACGTTATTAACATTTTATGTATAATTGTCGGGATACGCAAAATTCTATTGTACATACATGCCGCTGTTTTATAATTATAATATGGAGTGCACTTGCGCGAAACAAATATTTATCGATACGCCGGAAAAATTTAGGCGCTGAAATAAAATACACGTTCACGCGAGAGTGCTTTCCTTAACGACTCTCGTCGCGCTTGACAGTTTTCTTACATTTGCTGACTCTCGACGCCTTTTAATTTATCGAAGAGAATCCTCGCAATTGTCGCGCTTAAAGTACTCAATTTTTGCGTACTTACGGAGAAATCTGCCGCTGTCGCGGACGCGTGTCCCGAGTGCAGAATGCGCCTGATCGAGAATGCGCGACGTCGCATCCGGTCGTACGTAATTCACGAGACCGACGAAGAAGAAAAGAGAAGGAGAGTCGGAGGGGCCGGGAGAGGAGGAGGAGGGGAGGGGGGGGGCACATCCGGAAATGAGTTTTCGCTCGTGTCCACGCTCAGGTTCTTAGGACTGCCGTCGAGCTTCGTACCTACATGTGCACGCCGAGAGAGGATTAGTCGTAGCTCAGCACACCACCACCGCTATCTCCCTAACCCCTTCGCTTCATCCCCGAGGAAGCATTAATCAAAGGAGCAACCGTATGCCCTGTTTCCGTCGCGACGAAAGCTGCTGCCGGTTCCCCACATGGAATCGCTGTATCGCGGGAAGGGGGTTTATTTCGTCCCTCGCGCAAATCGGATCGGAAGCGCTGCCTCGCCGATCGAAGCTGCCCCCGATGTCCATAATTATTACGATAATTTCCTAAGTTTGCCGAGGAGCGGCGATTTATTTCAGATTTTAATCCAACGTTGCGTAAAACAACGCCAGCGCTCCCTTGGCCGTGCCTGGCATTTTTAATAATACAGAAATTTTATTGCGAAAAATATCACCTCAGCCAGGGTTTGAACCTGAACCTCCCTGCACTCGAGACGGGCGTCTCACCAATTCGACCACCGAGGCATATCATAATATTTAACAGTATAAAGATGTTGTCTACGCGTCTGTTTCGACTTTTTTTTTAACTTCGCGCCAATTGGGAAAGGGGGGGGAGGGAAAACTTAAAATCGCGTATTCAACAGTTCTTATCGGTTAGTTGTGTAAAACGTGGAAAAACTGCTACAGAGACTACTTTGGATATGTTGAATAATGCTTTCGGTGGAGAATCCACGAGTCGTGTACGTGTGTTTGAGTGGTTTAAAGGATTTCGAGGAGTTGCACCTCCGTTAAAAGCGACACGTGGTCTGAACGCCCTTTAACAGGCAGAAACGAAGATTCTGTCGTTCGCGTAAGAGAGTCACCGTTTAACAATAAGAGAATCGCTACCACTGAATCAGCCGATTATACAATCACTCTCGATACTTTTCGATCGCACCTCGTATATAATGTTCTATGAAAAGTACGCAATGCGTACGACTGAGAGAGAATCGGTTTGATACATTTGCGACAACATTTCGAGGACGGTGATCCAGTTCTCGGTTGCTGCTTTATTTTGGTATAATTACTTCTATCTCGTAAATGGAGGGATTGTGTCTGAATGTCTGACTGTGACCTCATTTTCTCGTAATCGTCATCCCGTCACTGATGCTACTACGTTGCGAAGGGTGGAGAGGCAAAAAAGATTCCCGATAAAATCCTGGGATCTACCGCGCGCCCGCGGCGGTCTCGGTAATGCGACGGAGCATAGTGCTCGTTGTGAAATAACGTTTCAAAAGCGTGTCGGATGGCAAAGTGCATTTTTCATAGCGGTCGAAATGAAATTGAAGACGGAAAATCTCAAACGTGTTAAATGGCGAAATTTTTGCGTCGGCGCGAGGGAGATACCGTTCCACGATGGAAAGTAACTTCAGCTAGGTGTTGGAGGGACCTAATTAAACGTACAATTAAAATTCGTTTCACTCAATAATTCCGAATAGCTTGAGACCTTTTTGGAAGCGCGCGCTGTCCCTTGGAAAAACTTCTCAAGATCCGAGTTTCTTCATTTCGATACACTCTACTACGAGCAAGAGTTACTCGAATTTTACTATATTTATTTGTGTGGAAAGAAATCGGCTTCGTTTGCCGTAACACTGCGCTATGTGTTGTACAATCGTTGACGGATTTCACGGGATTAATCGAAATTCGCGCGGCATTAGATGCACTAATGAATGGGAGTAGTTGAATCCGTGGCGGAATCGATGCCGGGTGTTTACGAAGACGGGGCGGTCGAGGCCGGCCGGTTTAACTTTGTCTCCTCGCCCTGATCCGCAGAAACTTGCAGACATCAGGACGTAGATGTGCGTAGATGTGCGGTAGATT